TGCTATGTTGTTCATTTTTGAAATGACCTTCAGGATAAGAGATATTTTCTTTTTTACAAAAACTAGAGCACTTTATCTGAGTTATTATATGAAATTGCTTAAAAAAACAGTGATTATATTAACATAAGAGACTGATAATTTTGTAATAAAACAGTGATTGATAAATCTGAAGGTTAAAACACTTCTACTTTTATACAGAAATTACAGAAAAAATTTCAGTTAATTATTTTCAAAACTTTTTTAGCAATTGCTGGCCCCGTTTGAGTATTTTCAAAAACATATATTTCGAGTAAAACACGTTTTAAAGAATGACATCTTGCTTAAAGTAATGGGCATCTGCTTTTACTAAAACACTTGTAGTTTTTGTTCTAGTGAACGGAAAAGGATAAACTTGGTATTTTTATAAAGCTAGTAAGATGGCGTATAAAATAAAATCCTAAACAATTTGTCAATTTTCGGCAAAATTCACAATTTTAGGGTAATCGTATACCTTAAAATATCACACCAAGAAGGAAAGCATATAGTAGAAACTTGTTAAACGCACTTACATAGCATTTTTGGCAGTGTCGTAACGGAGAATATTAGGCCCCCCCCCCTGCAAAGTCAAGTTTTGCCTTTAATATCTTTTTAATTGGTTAAATATCGGGTGTCTATAATTAAACCTGAATTTTGACAGTAGTCGGTAGCATGATCTATACTGCTGAATTGCGTGAAAATTGGTTAATTTTAGAATGAAATTATGGGAATTTTATCGAGCGAATAAAAAACAATGAGTTTCAAAAACCATCTCCAGGTGGAATATCATAGCTTTATTGAGAACATATAAATAATCAACAAAAGTTTACAAAACATACTCGATATGCTTTCGACCATTGTCTGCCACCATCTAGATGCGTAAAATTGTATGTTCGACTGTTGAAAGCCGCCTTAAATGGGGGATGTTACACACAAGGTGTTCTATGCCTTCTATGTTCTGGTCGGATGGAGATGTGATGGGATCCAAGGACTTGAAATATCCCCACAGCCAAGAATCTGAAGGATTAAAGTCGAGAGATTTAGGAAATCAAGCTGTAGGAAATGGCGGCTGATGATTCTGTCGTCATAGAAATGGCGGCACAGCACTTGTTTCACACAACGGACGAGTGTTGTATGGAGGAGCACCACATTCTGCGTAAACATTGTGGTTGAATCACATGAGCTTGCTTGAAGAGCCGGAAAAACGGATTGCTCTATAGTTACGGCATTTCCATATGCTAATAGTTTGCACTGCACTACGCCATCTAGTGGCTGTTTTTGATACTCATTTTTTTTCCTCGATAAGATTCCCATTATTTCATTTTTACATTACCCATTTTTCATGCAATTCTGCTGCATATTTTTTTGTTAGAACTCGCAAATTTCAAGTTTCATTACCCGCTACGTAATCACCCGGTACGTACTTGAAGTTAGTCATGCCTTAGCCCCCTCCCGAAACTCTCCCCTCCCTGCAATGAAAAGGTTTCGGGGGTGTACATTATGCTACTAACAGTGGTTTTATACTTATTATTGCTTTGGGGCTCACACGTGATTATAATGCATTCTTTGGAAGCCTTCACGTTGGGTAGACAACTGTGTATTCAGATTTCTGTCTTATAAATCTAAATATAAAAAAATGAAAAGAAATTTATAAATGCATTATTTTCAGTTTTATGTACAAGTTCCATATTTTCCCAGGTTACGAAAATGATTCCTAGGAATCTGGGGGTATTCTGAAAAAATATTTCATTTTTATGTTTGCACTAAATAATTTTTAAATGGTTTATTTTGTAGATTGTAAGTAATAACTAATTAATGATTATAACAAGGTATTCACACAAATACCTTACCTCAGCAAGAGCAATGGATTAACAATGTTTGTCTTCGAACGAGGCTCAATACCGGAATATTTTTTTTCCTAAAAGACGTTTGTACATTAATGTTATATTTTTGTCTCACTATCCCTTAAGAACCTATATATCTTATAATATCCCTCCCTTTTTGTGAATCAATAAATTTTTTCAGGTGCAAAATGCGCTTTATAATTTTGTTTCTAATATTGCAATACTATGCGGATTTTCAAATTTGCAAGTTCAAATGAAAAAATGCCTAGTTTGGGAAACAGGAAATAAAACTAGGAATTAATAAATTTTAAGAATATTTTGCACAGTTCACAGATTCTGTATTACTATAAAGACACAAATTTCTAAGATACCAATTGGAACGGTTCTCTTTTTTAATGTGTTCCAAATAGAAATGGGACTCTGACACTAAGCGAAGGCAGTCTTAAGCCATTTCTTCCACATGCATACTGAAACATTCTACTTTTGGTAAAAGTGCTTGAGTACTTAACTTCGTTTTCAGTCTCTGCTGCTTTCGCTCGTCGTTTTTAAAACTCATTTTTGTGGACATCGGCAGCGGTAAGCATCTCTGAACGATGGCACGGAAGTAGAGGCTTTTAGGTTAATCCCCATCTTTCAAATTAAGTTAAACCTGTGTGCCCTCGGAAACTTTATTATTATTCCGTTAAATCGTCACCTAGCACTGTGATGGAATTTAAATAAAAAGTCCCGTTCAATATTTGCATTCAACTTTCAATCTCGTTTAAGAACATTATGTTCAGGAACAGTTCGAAAACTTTAAGCTGGTTATAAACTGGGAAGAGGAAGAGATTACCTTATACTCTATCTTTTTTTTTCTCTCAGAACTTTTTTTCTTTAGTGTGGATAATTGATACCATTGTGTGAAAATATTTTCGGTACAGCAAGGAAGAAAAGTAACAATTCGTAAAATATTTTTGTAAAAAAAAATTGAAATACTACGTTGATGGATTTATTAATGGAATTTACAAGATTAGAAGATAACTCCCGTAGCGCAACTGTAATCATTTCTGCTTTTGCTCTGGACGTAAATCGGGAGAAAATTTAAGAGAATTAAGATTACGCTCGTCTTTGTAAAGGGCTCAGAAACGGACTAACATATAAATTTAAATACTTTTTTAAGAAATCTTTGAGATGGAACTTTTGAAAAATTAGTCTTCTCTTTTATTGAATATAAGAATACACTTGAGTCCCGAAAAACCGTCTTATTGTGTACCGAAGGGTGGCCGAGTTTGTAAAAATGCAGGGTTACCGAGAATGGAATTAAAAAAGAGTAAGTACCTCAGAAAATATTGAACTGCACTTGAATCCATTGTTTGCTTGATAATCTCTACAAGAAATAAATTTCCCAAATACCATTAAACAAAGAAAAAGTACGTACTTTATAAAGTACGTAAGCATTTACTACTTAGAAGTGGATAAAGCATTTACTATTTGAAAATGGATAAAGGATTTACTACTTGGAAATATTCTTCTTCATATCTTCTTCTTCTTAGGCAACGCCCACCCTTGGCTGTTGGGTCATTAGATGACGCTCTGACCAGTAGAGATGGGCTTCCTTAAAAATGTTGTTTTGGTACTTTTTATTGTGGTCTAGAGCAGTGCAAGTCCTTATGTGTTCAGCGTTCATAGTACCGTAACCACAAAGCTGGCACTCTGGTGATGGTAGGGCATTGATGCGGGAAGGTGTGCGGCAAGATCCACGTGCCTCATCCTAAAAGCTGTGGCACGTGGTGGGTTGTGACCGAGGGGGCCTCTGGAAACGAGACTCTCTCAATTCTTGCCTAAAGAGAGCCTCTGCAACCGCTGACGGTTCCATCTTTCAACTGCTGATTTTATTTGGGACTTAGCAGAATGGAACATGCTGGGTTGTTTGACTACTTGGAAATGAAAATTAATGAATACAAAGTATACAATAATTCACCTAATCAAACACATTTCGGAAAAATACTTTATGACGACATAAAGCTATCTATAAGGAAAATTAAGTAGCCGACTTTTCAAAAACTAGTTCCTTTTTTAAAAAAAAAAATACGAAATGTGCTGTTTAGGGTACTGCACTTTGCGTTTTGTTGCTTCATCGCGATAACGACGAAGGAAAATAAGTCCGTTAACGACGTTCCTTGTTGTTCAAAATACTGAAGGGCGGTTTTTACATCCTTTAGTCCCTTACTATGTGATGTTTTAGAAGTTTGTACGGTGTCCACAACGTTAATGTCTTCCTCATTTCCCGGCTTTATTTAATTAACTGACAGCAATAATTTCTACATCGGACATCCTGCAAGGGGGCAGCCGAGTTATCCACACTGCCGGGTTATAGAGTTCAGAGTTTTCTGAAATCAGAAAAGTTAGAATTTTTTTTAAAAGTAGATTAATAAATTTTATTTATAAATATAATTCAGCTCTAATTAATTTAAAACTAAGCGTGATGGATCAAAAGTTTTAATCCATCTTTTAAATCAAAAACTCAAACTAATTAATTTTAAAAAAACTTATAGGGGCATATTAAATTTATTTTTACATTTGTTTTATTCAAAACAATATTTCTTAATATTCAATATAACTATTTTTTTAAAATTCAGTAATATTAATCAGACAAATTATTCATGTTGTATGTTCTTTTTCTTTTAAAAGGAAATGGAATTGTCTGGGATGAACGGTATTAAAAACTATTAAAACCAAGTTTTGAAAATGAACAACATTGAGGCGTGTAAGATTTCTTTTTTATTTTAATGTCTTTTGATTTCCAAATTATTAACTGAAAACTTTTTATTGCAATTATCTTTCAAACTTGGCCGTTAAAACACGTAACATAAAAAAAATTAAGTCAATTCCTATTTAGGTCTTAGGTCAACAAAGAAAAATTTTATTTTAGTTACTTTTTATTAAATAGTTACAAGTATTATAAATATTTATATACATATGACAGAATTACATCATTAAGTGACAAAATAGAAACCGATTTTTCTTGCAATTTTCTATTTGCCTTTCTAAATATGGTGTTAGCATTTATTGTTTGTTTGATACTATTTATTCATCATTTAAATTTAATTATTCTAATAAAATAGTATAGTAAAAAAGAAATCACATTCTCAGAAATTAGGCAATCCCAGGTGGAATTCGAAACCACGAACTTAGGATTAGAAGTCCAAGGAGCTATCTAATGCACTACAGGGACACAACGAACAAATTCCCTTTCTATGCATACTGTTGGACTATTATTTTTGTTTGTTACTATTTATTCATTAGTTAATGAATTAATATTTTAAAAACTGTATTAAAACATTAAGTGTCATCCACTACAAATTTAAAAAAGTATTTGAACTTGAATGGATAAATACACTCATGTCCATAAATTAAGGATAATGAAGTTCAGGCAAAGAAAGAGACAAAACCAAAACAAATTTGACTTATTTGTAAAGTCTATTTATTAAATAAAAGGTAAAGAGAAAAAAAATGCTATATGTTTGACATAATTAATAAAAATTGCGATTTTTACTCCCTGGAGCAAATTTCAAAAAAGAACCTATTTACAAAAAACAGTATAACATGGTTAGTATGATGGTTAATACGGAGTATATATCCCGGACGATGCAATACAGGCCTTACGACGCCTACTCATGCTGAGTAAAGTATCAATCTGATCTTGGGGAATATTACACAACTCATCAAGCAATGCCCTCCGAAGTTCCGATAGATAGGTGGGAGGGGGCTGACGGCCTGCAATTCGTCGGCCAAGCATATCCTACACATGCTCTATTGGATTTAAGTCCGGTGAGTATGCTGTCCAATCCATACGGGTGATATCCTCCGATTGAAGCATTCGTCTACAATGTTTGCACGGTGAGGACGGCGTTGTCATCCATAAACAGAAATTCAGCACCCATGGCGCCCCGAAACAAACGTACATGTTGTTCTAGAATGACATCCCGATTGATGTGGCCTGTCATCATTACACTCTGAACATGCAGGTCAGTTCTGGAATCAAGAATAATTCCTCCCCAAACGAGCCATCCTGCACCACCGTAACGGTGTCGTTTAATGGTGTTCTCTTGGGGTAACGGGTACCTGGCGCTCTCATATGAAAGTCCGGCGAGAATTCAGACTGCAAACTAAACCTGTACTCGTCGGAAAACATCACACAAGACCACTGTTGCGGTGTCCACAATGCATGCTCTCTACTCCAGGTAATCGCAGGCGACATTGAGTTGTGGTAAGGGGAACACATTTGACAGCCTACGAGCATATAGACCAATGTGCCCCAAGCGTCTGTTCACGGTCTGCCTTGAAAACTGTCGTACCCGTAACTGAAGAGAACTGATGAGATAGGTCTGATGCTGTGCTCCGTCTGTTTCTTTTGGCAGTAACTGCCAAATACAGGTCCTCATTCAGCATTGTAACTCGGGGGGTGACCTGTGCTGTAACATCTACTCGCATTACCATCATCTTGGAATCATTGCCAAAGCCTGGAGATGACACTCTGGGCGATTCCTAGTTCCTCGGATACTTCAGCGGGTTCGTCCACATTCCAGTCGTCGGATATTCTACCACGTAAGAAATCATGCAAATGCTTCCTTTGTGCAATAACTATGGGTTATTGCACTGAAAGGCTTTTAAAGCGCTTGTGAACAATTTTACTTCTTTGCCACCATTCCTTATTTTCCACTCTCTTACACTCTCGTCATTGCGACGTACTATCCGCGCCATCTGGTGATTTCCTGTAATTTGCATATTCTTCTTCAAGATGTGTGTAATAATTCTACAGGTGAAATTTTTATTTTAGAGTTCAATTTCTGTATGATTCTTAATTATCCTTAATTTATGGACATGAGTGTAAAAAGTATTTTATTCGATTGAATGTTTGAACAAGATATATATGTATATATATAGGGAGAGAGTAAACTCTTAGTAGGAATTAAAAAAGAGGTTTAATTACAGAATTCAGATAAGAGGATTAATTACTAATCCTCCACAGTGTGGCTATACATCAATGTTACGAAGAAAAAGTTACAATTAAAAAAAAATTGTTTCAAATGGGGCTGCGGATTGGTAATAACCATTGCAGACGTAGTGCATTCTCCGGGAGCTGGCCTCACTTTTTAGAATGGCACCATGTAGGTCTATATCAATTGCCTCAATGCAATTTTGACGCCTAGTTTCCTCCCCAAGAGGAGGCACCTGAGCTCTGACGATGCGAAATTGTACAAGGAAACTAGTTTTGCCGAGATCTCCCAAGCCAAAAATGCACTCTAGGAATGTTTGACACATTACGCATAATCATACAACATAGACACTGCCGATGTTTTGCATCATGAAAATCCACCTACTAGGGCTTACAAGTCCAAAGCAGAACCAACTACGCCACCCAGCCGGCTAATGTGTAGCATTGCTACGTTATTGAAAAAAGATCACTCAAAATTAGATTTGAAATGGAATTTAATAACTTTTTCACCTTGAAAGTACATTTTCAAAAATGTACTTTTGATTGAATTTAAGCCCAAAAAGCTTGCCAATGGCACATACAGACTTTCAAATAGGAGAGTTATATATTATGAAAAACGCATAGACAAAAGTGACAAGGGTTATTATCCATCATAAAAATTAAAAACTTGTGAGTTCTATGCCGGATTAACCCCCAAATCCCCCGTGTACTCCACTGACACTTACAGATGAATTTAAATTTTTAAATACTTTCTTCAGTTGTACAGTATTTATGAAAAAGATTCTAAACAACTTTAATCTCGGTATCTCCTAAAATGTTTATTCCTTTTTGTAGCTTAGTAAACTGAATCTATATTTTAAGAAAGCATTCTTATTTTTAAAAAGTTAAGGTGAATTATTTGTATAATTCAAATTAGCTTATGTAATATATAAAAATTATATATAGCTTTTGATCTTTATCTCTCAAAAACAAGTCAGATTTGGCACAAATATTAAGAAATTTTATATTTACATTGTATAACATCAAAAGAGAGATTTAGATAAAATATTAGTAGAGGGTTATATAGAAATGTGAAAGATTATCATTATTCTCTTAGTTGAATATTACGAACTTAATTAATTTAAATACTTAAAATCATAAAATTTTATAGCTTTTTCAAAGAAAAAATGGAGATAAAGAGTAATCATTAATAATCTCGTTAACGTATTCTTTTCTGTAATAATTAAAAAGGATCTCAGAAACAAACATCTCAACTCATCAAATAAAAACAAACCATTCATAAACTCAAAAAACAAACAACCCATAAGAGAGGAATTATTAACACATTAAAACACCACTAAATTAAAAGCATTTTTCCTCTTTCAGTTTTCGAAGAAAGTCCTTTCCTCCTTCAACAGCTCGCGAGGTGATTTAATTAAAACCAAGTAAAAATGGCGCCATTTTTATGAAGAAGTAAATATTATATTTCAACTCTTAAAGACGGTAACTGGATTCTTTGGAAACTTTTACGTCTTTCTTTTGTGAACCAAATGGGCTTCCTTTTAACACTTTTGTCACGAAGCTTAAACAAAGAAGGCGAAAGCGCGCTCTAGAATAATTTCTTGGAACACGAAACGTTCCAAATTCGACTATTTATAAACATACCACTTGATTGTTTTCAATAGAAATCGTCATTCCTATACTCACACATCTTTCTTTTTTTACTTTCTCTTTTGCTCTTATATTATATTTGGATTTTTCTAAGCAACTTTTATGTTTAAGCATGTGTAGTAAGCTAAAAACCATTTCGATGTCGGTATGAAAGTCATTGTTTATTTCTTCGTTGCTTTTTTTCAATTCCTACTATTAGTTATCCCTATTTATATATATATATATATATATATATAATACGACGATGTTGTTGGAATGGATTCTTTATATGAGATTGATAAGGCAGTACGGTGATTGAATAAACTTATTTATTATCCGTCTTGAACACATAAGACATTACAGGGACGACACAATATATACGCACACACAAACACAATGCAGCCGGCTACATGTTTACACAGTCAAAATACAGAAGCGAAAGAGGAGCGCGGTCTCCAGGAATCTCGCTATTTATAGGCTTCTCAAATCACATGATCTGAGTGGGTGGATAGGTGTAGTTTAAAATACTCTCGTTAGGCGGCGGGTTAACTTATTACTAAAACGTTGGTCCTGAAGGGATGGACCATTGGTAGTTAAAAGTTATTTTAAAGGATTATATTACTGGGAATTATTATATATATATATATATATATATATATATGGAAGAAATTTATATAAAATATAGAACATAACAGGGGAAAAAAGAAAAAAAAATTAAGATCAAATCTAATGAAATACAAATCAGAACTAGCGAGTCAAAATGCGACTTCGGACTTAGGACCGAATAAGTGGGGTTAAACTAGTTTGAAGGCGCCAACCTTCCCCCTTTGCAACTCGGTAGGAAAGACCAAAATAAAATAAATAGAAATTTAAAGTATAAAAATTCTAAGTATAAAAAATTCAAAGTATAAAAAATCCAAAGTATAAAAAATCTCAAAGAAATATGAAAAAACAACCGACTACTATTAAGCAAAAAATTCTCCCAAAATGTTTAAGCAGAAAAATATCAAAAGAACTACCCAGTAAAAGGATTCTTCCGAAAAGATTTTAAAACTTCTGCTCACAGAGCTTATTCCAGGAGATCCAACACACTTGAAACCGATGGAAAGCGTTTATATGTTGTGATAAAAATCTAAATTGCACTTAAACGCATCCTTTATACCAGCTTGCAAGGAAGACGCCAAGAAAGATTACATTCAAATTTGGTAGGCTACAACTTGATTGGCTGTCACAAATGTAGAAAATTGGTTGGTTGTCAAAATGTAGAAATTTGGTTTGGTTGCTAAAATGTAGAAATTTTTCACATATTATAGGAATTTAAGAAGGGTGTTTAAAAATAAACTGTGTGAAGAGTGTTAAAACAGAATCTTCACAGCAAAACCACTAAAGTGCTGACTTTGAAATCCTATTGTTGTATGGTGGTTTGAAATCAGAAATAGCAGGACGATTAATGTATTTGTGATGAATATATGTTCTTAGGAAGTTAAAAGGATAGTCATGATCTTAGCAGCATTGGAAGAATTTCTTGATATTATTAAATTTATCTATTTTGTTGGTAGTTAAGTTATCATTCCTAAGTAAAAAATTCAAAACAATATTTCTGTAAA